ATGCGAGCTCGTTAACATACTGGCCTATTGATGCCAGTATTGAGCTGAATCATTGCTAGAAAAATATTGCAGTCATATTTAAGTTGATCACTAACTGGTGCTAAAAGAGTGACTCATCATTATATTTACTCTGGGTAAACCGAGCATGGAAATACCTGAAACACCAAGGCCACATAAAGCAAGTTCACAAGAATGCACAACTGTGAGAATTTCCAAACTTTTTTTTTTCTCCAAAAAATCACATCTTAGGGATGACAGTGTTGACATTCATTTAAAAACAAATATGCTCTCAATTAAAAGACATAATTATACGGCATTTTCAACACACAGGGACAATGTTTGAATGAATGCAGAGAGTATATAAAGGAACATGGAAACAGCCTATAACATGCATTGTCTTTGGCAAGTGATGTACATGTGTATATATCAGTGGCTGTCAATAAAGTTTCTCTCTCTCAAACTGTGTTCAAGTCCAGAAAATGGCAAACGCCTGTGTGTTTATATCCTCAGTGCTGTCTAGATAATACACTGGAAAACTTTCCAATGAGTCAAGCAGGAAGGACTACGCATTCCAAATGAGCAACAAGGAGCCACTGTTATTTTTATGTTCCTCAGGCTGTAGACAGCAACATACAGCACACCACTTTAACATTCTGATAGAAGCTTTATACATACAGCTTTGAGATGAGAAGAATCAGCTGCAGATGAAGGAGAGACAGAACTGGTAATCAGTTTGTATATAACAATAGAGCCATGTGCACTGAGAGAGGTAAAGGTGCAGCAATATCAGGAGAGGTATTCTGACACAGAGAGAAGGGCATCTCAACAAAATGGAAATTATGACTTTGATCTTATGATCAATTTCAATGGGCACTCCACTTAATAGTTGACTCCTCAAGGGTGACAGAAGTTTAGTAATAAACAGAGCCAGTGAGAGTGAGTGGATTTAAGAAAGTGAGTGACTCAGGTGTGTCAGTTGGTTTGTCATCTGTTTTTGAGTGTGGGGGAGAGCTAGAAATGTTTACTTTTAATGCTAAGCAAGAAATATTCATGATTTATTTCCAAAACTTCCATATGATCTGCAATTTGTAGCAGATCTACTGACTATCACAAAGCAGCTGGAGCAGTCTCAAATGGAGGTCAGTCCACTACTGCCACCTGTGGCCAAGTGCCATAGTTTACTTGCAAGATTAATTTGTGACACATCTGCAGTAGAGGCTGAGTGGCTGCACTTACCTCTGGATCGTTCAAATCGACCCACACACATGCTGAAAGATACGATGCCAGCAATGTGGATTGTCAGGACCAAATCCAATCATTAAGCAAAGACAACAGGGATCATTTGTTTCTGTTTACCAGCAAACCAAAACTCTTGGCCCCGCCCCCTCCCGTGACATCACGCTCCGAAGCCCTTTCCTCTTCCGTAGAATCGTCCTTTTCCAATCCTCCAACATTATTTACACTCAGCAAAGAACTGCAGTTCGACTAATATCTCACCCTGTAAATCAGGTATTCTGCTGG